CTTTCTTACTTAGTTTTGATTTCTCAAACTTTTTTTACAAAATAATCAAAAACCGGATGTGAATTATCTAATTTTGTACTCAATTCTGGATGAAATTGTAAACCTAAAAAGAATGGATGTTTTTTTAATTCAAAACATAATGGTATACCTTCTGAATCGTTTGAAACACCAGACAAAATTAAATTATCATCTCTATCTTCTAAAACTTTTTTAAATTTGTTTTGAAATATAAATGAATGTCTTCTTCTTTCATATATACAATTTAAATCACAAAATTTTTTCTTATAAATTTCTTCAATTAATGAACCTTTTTTAGGTTTTACTTTTATTTCACCAAGTGAAATGTTTTTATATTCATTTAAATAATCAATTATTAAAACATCATCACAACATTTTGAAATTTCTGAAGTGTTAGCTTGTATATTCAAAACATTTCTGAAATACTCAATAGTTAAAATTTGCATACCATAACATATTGATAAAAATGGAATATTGTTTTCACGTGCATATTTTGTAATTAACATCTTTCCATCAAATCCAATATCACCAAATCCACCTGGTGAAAGTATTCCATCATATTTTTTCAAAAATGCATAATCTTTTGTTTTTTCAAATTCTTGTGGTAAATAATTTAATGTATTAACTTTAATACCATGTTTAAGTCCACTTTGTTTTAATGAAAAAATAATTGAATAATAAGCATTTTTATTATTAGCTGCATCTTGATCAACAATTAAAAAGTTTAATGATTTTTTACTTTTATTCATTAATTTATATTTTTCTTTATAATCATCAATTAAAGTTTTATCAAGATGTTCTTTTAAATCAAATTTTTGTAAAACTAATTCAAAAATTTTATAATCTAAAAGTTTTTGTACAATTTCAAAATCAAAATAAACATTTTCTAAACAAAAAGTTTTACTATTTTCAAAAACTTTAATATCTTTGCATTTTGGTTCATCTGATCTTAAAATGCATAAATCCATTTTTATCTTTTTTGAATTAAAAAAATTAATTGCTTTCTTTTCTTTTACAATTGATTCTTCATCACCTTTTAAAACTAAACAATTTAATGTTTCAAAATTATTTTTAAATTTCTTTAAAATTTCAACAAAAATATCATATGATGGATTTTCAACATTACCACCTAATTCTATAATTGTAATTTCTGGTTGAATTTTATTTATTAAAAATTCAATTTTATATTTAAATTTATTAAATACTTCATTTACAAAATCAATTTTTATACCTTTAAATTTATTTTTATTTTCCATCTTAGCAATGTCTTTTAAAACTAAACCTAAAGTTATAGATTGTTTTGAAGATTGATTTTGATTTAAAAATCTTTCATAATGTGCAATATCAAAATCAACTTCCTTACCATCTTGTGTTACAAAAACTTCTCCATTCTCTGAAGGATCAATAAATTTTGAAGAAATATTTAAATAATAATCCAACTTCAAAATTAATGGTTTTAAATTATTTTTTTTAAATAAATAACCAAAAGATGAAGCAATTAAAGATTTACCAATATCTGAAAATTCTCCACCTAAAACAAATAAAATTTTTCTCATTTCTCAACTCCTATTAAATTTCTTATTTAAAATTTTTTTATTTTTTTTCATAGTGGCAACTTATTTAATACTTTTCAATTTTCTTATCCACCATATTTTTTTTTTTTTCAAGTACTTTTTTAAAAAAATAATAAAAGAACATATAAATAATAAAAAAAATAAATTATAATTTTAATAATCAAAAAAATAAAAATTAAAAAATAAAAATTATTTTAATAAATATATGAAAATAAAATTAAAAATTATAAAAAAAATTATAAAAAAAGAAAATTTAGAAAATATTATAATTTTTACTGAATTAAATAGATTTTGAATAACTAATTTTAAATCTAGTTATGGATTTTTAATTTTTTATAAAAATAAAGAAAAACCTGATTTATTTTTAGATTCAAGATATATACTTGAAGGTAAAGAAAAAGTTAAAAATATAAATGTTTATAAATTAGATAAATTTATAAAAATTTTTCAAAAATTAAACGGAAACATTGGAATTGAAAATGATTTAAAGGTTGAAACATTAAATTTATTTAAAAAAATTAATAAAAATTTAAATTTTAAAATAATCAATTTTGATGAATTAAGAGAAATTAAAACAAAAAAAGAAATAAAAAATATAGAAAAAATTTCAAAAATAACAAATGAAATTTGAAATGAAATTTCAAATTTAAAATTAAATAATTTTAATGAAAAAGATATTGATTTAAAAATTAGAGAATTATTTTTAAAAAATAACATAAAAAATATATCATTTGATCCAATTGTAAGTACAAATTTAAACTCTGTTTTTATACATACAATTCCAACAAATGAAAAAATAAAATCACATTTACTATGTGATTTTGGTGGAAAATTAAATGGTTATTGTTCAGATTATACAAGAGTAAAAATACTTGAAAAAAATAAAGAATTAAAAAAATATTATGATTTTGTAATTGATGTAAGTAATGAAGTTTTTAAATTAATAAAACCAGGAACCAAAATTTCAACATTAGTAAAAAAAGCAAATGAAATGTATAAAAAAAACAACTATAAAGTATTACATGCATTAGGACATGGAATAGGTTTAAAAGTTCATGAATATCCATTATTATTTGAAAATAATGAAAAAAAATTAAAAGAAGGAATGGTATTTACAATTGAACCTGGTGTTTATATAGAAAATGTTGGTGGTGTAAGATATGAAAATATTGTTTTAGTTACAAAAACTGGATACAAAATATTAACAAAATAAATATATTTTTATTAAAAATTAAATATGATAAATAAATATTAAAGATCAATAAATTTAATACATATAAAAAAATAAAAAAATTATAAATTTTTCAATAATAATAAAATATAAATAGGAGTTTTAAATATGAATAAAAACAAAAATATCATTACAAAAAAACATTTTGTGGAAAATATAAAGGAAGATTTAGATATTGATTTAAAATCAGCAAAAAAACTATATGATTCTTTTTTTGATACTTTTATAAAATCACTAAAATCAAAAAAAGATATAAAAGTAGCTAATTTAGGTATATTTTCAATTGTAAAAACAAAAGAAAGAAAAGGTATGAATTTAAAAACAAATACAGTAATTTTAATACCTTCAAAAAATAAATTAAAATTTAAAGTTTCAAAGAAATTAAAAGAAGAAATTGAACAAATTGAATAATAAAAAATAATATTTTTTTAAATAATAAAAGTCTCTATTTTAAATAGAGACTTTTTTTTATTAATAAAATTATATTAATAATTTTTTCATTCTCTTTTCGAGATTACAAATGCTTCTATATTTTCAAAATCTTTAAAATCAATAATTTTATTCTCAATTAAAAATTTAATTAAAAATGAAAAAGTTGTCCCAGTTGTAAATACATCATCAAAAAATATTATTTTTTTATCTTTCAAAAATTCTTTATTTTTAAATATTTCTTTATTTTTTAACTTTCAAGTTGGATATACTTTTTCTATTTCTTTTTCTCTCTCACTTTCTTTTTTTTGATAAAAAGAAAAATAACAACTTTTAATATCAAAACAAATATTATTTTTATCTTTTATTTTATTTTTAATTTTTAAAACATAATCTAAAAACCTTCTAACTTGACAAAAAGTATTTTTTAAACCATTTTTTAATGGTGGTAATAAAAAAATAATTTTTGATAAACAAAAAATATTATTTTTTTCTAATAATTTATAAAGAATTTTTTTATTAAAATTGTCTTCAAATATTAAATTAATATTTTTACTTTGTTTTTTTAAATCTTTTTTTAATTTTAAAATTTTATCTTTAATATTTTTATCTTCATGATAAGGAAATAAATAATTTATTTTAAAATTATATTTCTTATCTTCATATTTTCATTCATAATTTTGAAATTTTCATTCAAATTTTTTTTCTTTATACATATTAAATCAATTTTAATGTTTTTAAATTTATTTCTTTAAAATAATTATGATTTTCTAAATAATTTTTATTTTTTTCATAAATTTCTTTAAACATAAATACTTTATTTTTATTTCTAACTGCTTCTAAAACTTGACCTAAAGTACCAGATTGGCCTTCAAATCATACAACAAAAGTTTTGCTACTTATTTGTGCCATAGTTTTATTTCTTTTTAATAAAAATAATTTATTTCAAGTATTAGAATTTGGAAATATTTCACTTAAAATAATTCCATTTTTTAAAGCATAATCTAATATTTCTTTTTTTTCTTCATTAAATTCTTCTTTTAAAATATCTTTACCAGGTAAAACAATTATTTTTTTATTTAATTCTTTTGCTTTTTTATGTGCATTTAAATCTGCACCAAAAGCTAAACCTGAAACTATAACTTTACTATTTAATATAAATTTATCAATTTTTTTAATAAAATTAATTGGTGTTTTTCTACTTCCTACAAAAGAAGTTACATTTTCTTTTTTTAAATTTAATAATTTTAAATCACCTTTATAAAATAAAACATCAATATTTTTAACATCTTTTAAAAGATTAAATTTTAAAAAATCAAATTTAGATATAGATTTAATATTATTTTTATTTCATTCATTAAGTGTTTTTTTTCATAATTTATAAATTTTTTTATCAATTTGATTTATATTTAAATTATTAAAAAATGATAATTGTTTATTATCTTTAAATAAATCATTTTTTAAAGAAATAATTTGTTTATCAAAATCATCAAAGTTTTTGAAAAAATTAAAAATTTTTGAAAATTTTATTTTTTGATCAATTTCTTTTTTAATTAAAAATATAGATCAAATTAATGAAATTTCTTTATTTCTATTCATAATATTTTTATATATACTTAATTTTATATTTTAAAAATTAAAAATTTCTAAAAATATCTATATATAAATTGTTATTTAAAAAAAATATCTGATTATAAAAGTATAATCAGATATTAAATTAATAATTTTAAAAATAAACTTTTTAATGGTGGATCCTACAAGATTCGAACTTGTGACCTCTCCGTTATCAACGGAACGCTCTAACCGCTGAGCCAAGGATCCATACTTATTAATTATTTTATAATAAAAACTCAAATATTCAAACAAAAACAAATAAAAATAAATTTATTTGTTTTTGTTTTTTCTTTTTTATAAATTAAAAAATTCTTTTATTTTATTTTTAATTTTAGATTTAATAGCAAAATTATTAACATTTGTATTTTCATTATTAATACTTTTATTTTTTAAATTTTTATTTTTTAATTCTTTTAATTCTTTTTTAATTCTATATTTTTCTTTATATTTTTTAATTAAAATATCTTTATTTTTTTCTCTATATTCTTTTTGATAGTCTTTTGCTTTTTCTTTATTTTTTTCTCTATATTCCTTTTGATATTTTGAAATTATTTCTTTATTTTTAATCTTATATTTTATTTGATAATCTTTATTATTTTTTCTATATTTTCTTTGATAATCTTTTGCTTTTTCTTTATTTTTTTCTCTATATTCTTTTTGGTATTTTGAAATTTTTTCTTTATTTTTAATTTTATATTGTTTCTGATATTCTTTAATATTATTATTCATTTTCCATTTTTCCTTATATTTATTATAAATTTTTTATTATTTTTTTTTATAAAAATAAAATATTATTTTATACTAAAAAACTAATTAATATTTAATTATTTTTTTTATTTTTTAAAAATTAAAATTTTAATAATTTTTAATACTTATAAATAATAACTTTTTATTTTATAATTATTTAATATTTTTTTTAATCCATACTTATTTTTTTTATTTTTATTTAATTTTTTTTAATAAAATAATAAATATTTAAAAAAATAAATAAAAATATAATAAAAAACATAAATTTTTTATACTTTAATTTATTTTAATTTAAAAAAAAAAAAAAAAAAAGATAAAAAATAATTTTTATCTTTTTTTAAAAAATATATTGAAAATATTTAATATATTTGTTGTGTTATACAATGAATATTTCCGCCACCTAAAATAATTTCTCTTGCAAATACTGGAATAATTTTTCTGCTTGGATATGCTTTTTTCATTATTGATAAAGCAATTTTATCTGTTTTTATATTAAAAATAGGTAATAAAACTGCACCATTTAAAATGTAATGATTAATATATGAACCTGCTTGTCTATCACCTTTTTTTCTTGGTAAAGTTCCAAAAATTTTATCAACTCCTAAACTTTCTTCTTCTGTAACTATAATTAATGGATCGGGAATTGGAACTTTTATAATATCAAATTTTTTTCCATTTAAATCAGTTTGTTTTTTTAAAATTTCATATGCATCTTTTGATATTTTATATTGTGGATCTTTTTTATTATCTGTTCATGCTAAAAGTATTTTTCCTGTTTCACAAACTTGTAATATATTATCAACATGTCCACTTGTTTCATCATTATAAATTCCCTTTGGAATTCAAATAATCTTTTCTACTCCAAAATATTCTTTTAAAATATTTTCAATTTCTTTTTTTGAATATTTTGGATTTCTATTTTTATTTAATAAACATTCTTCAGTTGTAAATAAAGTACCTTTACCATCAACTATAACACTACCACCTTCTAAAATTAATGGAGCTTTATAATAATCTTTTTCTTCTAATTGAATAACCTTATGAGAAACTAATTGATCTTGATCTCATGGAAAATATAAACCACTTTCTAATCCACCTCATGCATTAAATTTTCAAGAAACACAACGTACATTATTTAAAGAATCTTTTAAAAAAATTGGTCCTGTATCTCTAATTCAGCTATCATTATTACTAATTTCAACAACTTTTACATTTTCATTTAAATGATTTAAAGCATTTAAATATTGTTTTTTACTTACACCAACAGTAACTTTTTCATATAAACTTATTAAATTTGCTACTTTTGCAAATACTAATTGTGCTGGTTTTGCACCATTTCTTCAATTATCAGTTCTTTCTGGTCAAAGTAAATAAGTACCTTTATGTTTTTCAAATTCTGCTGGCATTTTAAAACCATCTTTTTTTGGTGTACTTTTTAATCATTTTGACATAATTTATTCTCCTTTAAATTCTATTATTTTGTTTTTGTTTTTATTTTTTTCTCTTAATGATTTAAAAATTAATAATCATCCAATAAATGTTGTAAACACATTACCACAAAATGATAATAAAATTCCTCATCAACCACCAACTTCTTCATATGGTTTAATTTTTATTTCTTTACCTAAATTAATATCAAAATTTTGAGTTATTAATGCAATTATTATAATAATAATTCCTCATCAACCTAAAATTTTAGCAAATCAATTAGGACCTACTGAAAATTCTCTTTTAGTTTTAGAATCTATTTTTCTTAATTTTATAAATGCAGCAAAAATAAAAATATATGGAATAAAAAATAAAACCATTGAAAATGAAAAAACAATATATCATAATTGTCCACTACCAAAATATGTAAATAAAGTTCCAATTAAAATTGCAATTGTAGAAATACAACCAGTATATAAAGCTACATTAATAGGAACATTATTTAAATTACTTTTAGCAAATGATTTTGGTAAATTACCAAACTTACCAGCTTCACATGCAGCACGATTTGCACCTAAAGTTCAAGTAATCATATTTCCTAATAATGTTAATGAAATTAAAACTGCAACTATATAAGTAAAAATTTTAAAACCTTCTCCAAATTTTGATAATTGATCAACTGCATGAATTACTACATAAGTATAAATACCATCATCATAATAACTTTCTTGATTTACATCAACTAATATTAATGCAGGAATTGTTGCTAAAATATAACAAAATAAAATTGCAATACCACCATAAAAAATTGATTTTAAAATTGATTTTTTAGGATCTTCCATTTCTTCTGAAAGATTTGAATTTAATTCAAAACCTGCTAAGTTATAAACTATAATTCCAATAACACCTAATGATAAACGAAAATTAGGACCTAATGCTTTACCAGATTCAAAATCTGTTGCAGATGTTTTACCTTTTGAAAATCATATTATCATAACTATTATCATAATTAAAACAACAAAAAATTTAATTATTGCACTAACATTTGGAAATCATTTTCCATCTCCAATTTTTAAAAAATTAATTGCAATTGTTAATCAAGTTGCAACAATTGCTACACCCATTGCTATTCAATTATAATTTTTATTATCTAATAAACTAGGATTAATAGCATAGGTTATAGTTGAAGATAAAATTAAATATACTGATGCCATTCAAAAAGCAACATTTACTCAATAAAAATATCCTAAAAATGCTGAACTTTTTTTACCAAAAGCTCTTGAAACTCAATATTCAACACCTCTACCATTTTTACTATATGTTGTTCCAAGTTCAGCCATCATAAGTCCATATGGAATAAAAAATCCAATACCAATAATAATTCATCAAATTATACTTGATCAACCATATGTTGTAACTAATCCAAATGAATCTATTACAAAAACTGCTGAAAAAGTAAATAAAATAGCATCTAAAACAGAAAATTTCTTTTTTTTCATTTATTTATCTCCATTCTTATTATTTTTAATAACATCTTTTAAATATTCAATTTTAAATTTATAATCATTATTAAAAGTTCAATTTTTATTTTTAACTTTTTCTTTTTTTAAATCATTAAAAAAATCTAAAATTAATTTTTTATATTTATTTTTTTTATTATTTTTATCATCTAATGTTTTTAAATCAGTCATAAAATAACTTAAAACACCCATTGCAGAATATAATTTATTTTCTGATTGATCAAAAATAATTGATTGTTTACCATCAAAAACTTCATCAACTAATTCAACATTTCGTGAACATGGTAAACAATGCATAACTTTAACTTGTTTTCCAATTAAATTTAATAACTTTAAATCTACTTGATAATTACCATTAATAAATGATTTATATCTTTCATTTGCCTCAGATGTTTGATCAACTCATCATCACAAATCAGTATAAAGAAAATCAACACCCTTTAACTTTGTAATATCACTTGTAATAATAACTTTTTTTGAACCATTTAGTTTATAATTTTGATTAGCTTTTTCAATTCATGAATTTTTTGCTAAATATTTTTTTGGTGCTACTTGAATAAAAGTTACATTCAATTTACTTGAAATCATCATTAATGATCTACAAACATTTGTAGAATCACCAATAAATCCTAAAGTAATTTCTGATCATTTTGTTTTTTTAGATTTAAAATTTTCTTTTATTGTTAAAAAATCACCCAAAACTTGTGTTGGATGATTTAAATCAGAAAGACCATTAAAAACTGGTACATCAGAATATTTAAAAATCCCTAAAATTGTTTCATGTTTTAATGCTCTACATAAAATACCATCTGTTAATCTTGATAAAACTTTAATAGTATCATATAAACATTCACGATCACCAAGATGAATCTCTCCAGGTTTTAAATATTGTGCTTTGCCCCCTAGCTTTGTCATTGCAGATTCAAATGAAATCCTTGTTCTAGTAGATGGTTCCTCAAAAATCATTGCTAAATTATAATTTTTTAACAATTCTGGAACTGATTTTTCATAATCAGCTTTTTTTAAAATTTCCATTAGCTTCAAAATTTGTTCTATTTCAAATTTTGTAAAATGATTAATGTCAATAATACCAATACTCATAATGATTTTCTCCTTTTAAAAAATAATTTTAATAATATAAATTTATTAAAATTTTTTTTTTTTTTTTTTTTCAAGTACTTTTTTAAAAAAACAAAAAAATAATAAATTATATAAAATTATTTAATTATCAATTATTTATAAAAAAATAAAAAATTGAAAATTTATTTTTTATTTTTTAAAATTTTTAAATATAAATTTATTTTTAAATTATTAGTATTATTTAATTGGAAATCCTATTTTTTTTAAAGTTTTTTTTATAGTTTTAAAATTACCTTTTATTCATTTTTCTCTATTTAAAAATTCATCAATAATTGAATAATCAATTTGTGGATAATAATAAAAATTATTAGGATTATTTTTAAATTTAAGCAAAACTTCTATTCCATAAAGTTCTTTTTTATAACTAGTAAT